AGTTTGCTATTGATTTTCAAAACATCACTCATTTCAATGCTGACTAGAAGTAGAAATGCGGCATCCTCGGCTTCTCTCGTGCCCTTGCCATTGAGGGCCAAAAATATAACATCTTTGTCAACACCATCGCCCCTAACGCTGGTACCGCCATGACTGCAACCGTCATGCCCCCCGAGATGGTCCAGGCCTTCAAGCCCGACTACATTGCTCCCCTCATTCTCGCCCTCTGTGGCGACGACTGCCCCGATCCCACCGGTGGACTCTACGAAGTCGGTAGCGGCTGGTGCGGCAAGACCCGCTGGCAGCGAACCGGCGGTCACGGATTCCCCGTCAACGTCACCCTCACCCCCGAGGAGGTTGTCAAGCACTGGAAAGATATTGTCAACTTTGACGATGACCGCGTGGACAACCCTGAGAAGACTCAGGAATCTATGATGAAGATCATGGGCAACATGGGAAACGTTGCTGAGAAGGTATGAGTGCCACTTTCTTGACATTTGACCCTTTACGAATATCATGTACAATTAGTTAGGACTAGAACATGTAAAAATATATCAAGAACATACAAAGAACCCCCTTTTACTGATCCGTGTGTTTCTTCTCGAAAAGGTCGATGAACCCGCGGGCGGTGCCGCCAGCAACGAACACCTCGATGCCATCAAATCCGTCATCGGCAAGGAGGGTCCTCCCGTTGAATTCAAGTTTGAGGAGCGCGACTCGATTCTGTACAACTTAGGTCTCGGTGCCAAGCACACCGAGTTGAGATACGTCTTGTAAGTGAACTTCAAAACTGGGCTGTTTTCCATGAAACACAACCAACTAACCACAACAACTGCAGCGAGGGCTCAGAGGACTTCGAGGTCCTCCCCACCTTCGGTGTCATCCCCATCTTCACCGCCGACATGCCCTTCGACTTCAACAACATCATCCCCAACTTCTCTCCCATGATGCTCCTCCACGGCGAGCAGTACCTCGAGATCCGCAAGTTCCCTCTTCCCACGAGCGGCACCCTCGAATCTCGTGGCAAGCTCGTCGAAGTCGTTGACAAGGGCAACGCCGCCGTCGTGAAGACCGCTCTCACCACCGTCAACAAAGAGACTGGCGAGGAAGTCTTCTACAGCGAAATGACCGCCTTTGTCCGCGGAAGCGGTGGCTTCGACGGCCCCAAGAAGGGCCAGGACCGTGGCGCTGCTACCGCCGCCAACGCGGCCCCCAAGCGGGCTCCCGATACGGTGGTTGAGTCCAAGACGGATGAGAACCAAGCTGCTATCTATCGGCTGAGCGGTGACTACAAGTAAGTCCAGTTTCCCCGCTTTTATCATCCTTGCCAACTTATAAAGCATTGCAAAAAGAATGTCTTCTAACGACTGTGTGCCAAAAAAATTCAGCCCTCTCCATATTGATCCCTCCTTCGCCAAGATTGGCGGCTTCAAGAGGCCCATCCTCCACGGCCTTTGCTCCTTCGGTGTCGCCGGCAAGGCCATCTACGAGGCTTTCGGCCCCTTCAAGAACATCAAGGTCCGCTTCGCTGGCACGGTTGACCCCGGCCAGACTCTCGTCACGGAGATGTGGCGAGAGGGCAGCAAGGTTGTCTTCCAGACCAAGATTAAGGAGACTGGCAAGCTGGCTATTGGCGGTGCTGCAGTCGAGCTGCTCGATGGTGGCAACAGCAAGATTTAAATGAGGCGGGCGGACGGACGGGACAGATGAAGGAAGAAAAAGGATTTGGTTTGGCATTTGGGATATCAATAGATTAGTTGGGATGCTTACTGGTTGGGATATTGGGATGAAAGCCACGCAAAGCTATATGCTGCTATGTATTATAATGATGTCTGTATTGTAAATAGTCCAGTTCAAGGGATGGTCATACGTTAACTACCAAGGTTCTTCCAAAGTGAATTAATTTCATCAAATGCTGTTATTACAACTATATAAAAGGGAGCATGCTACTGTGTACACCGCATGGGATCGACTGACAAATATCCTCTTCATTCCGATAATGCCTATTCATGTTTGCTACATCGTAGGAAACCCATGCCCATAATCTACCCTTCCAAAAGAAAAACCCAAATTAAAAAAACGCCGCGTTCATGACCGAAAGGGAACTGTTCCGTTAATCCATCAAATTCAACACGACAAGATATGCCGGCCAAATGTTCTCAACAGTAAATCGCCTCGGCAATAATGTCAAGGAAATCGGGCAAGTTCGGTGATGTGCTACTTGTCAGAAAGTGATCAATCCTCGAATGCACGCCATGCGAAGCAACTCCTGTTTCGAGATATGCCTTCTCAGCGCCAGAGAGCTCCCTCTGCTCCATTTCCTTCCACTTCCTCTCTGCGACTTCGCGAGCTTCCCTCAAAACGGTGTCGATGTCTTCTGACTCCCAGAGATTGCACTTGTCACACTGTGTGCATGGTCGCGGGTCACCATCAGGACGAAAGTGATCGCAGAAATGCCGGTATCCTTCGTCGCTGAGGTCCGCGCGACATACATAACACATCTTATACCCGCACGGGCAGGTAAGTTTGTTGCACCCTGCGTTTTTGACAAACGACGTGTTGCATCGGGGGCATACACGCTTAATGGCTAGGCTCATGGCCTGCTCGACTTGTGTCCTCAAGGCCACTAGAGACGACTCGTTGCAAACGTGAATATCTGTCCATGCCTTGTGGCATGACAAGCACGAGACTCGAGAGCATTTCGGATTTTGACACGAAAATCGTAGGCCACGTCGGCGGCGGCAGTGCCTGTGAATTGCACTCTGCCACTCTTTGCCTATGTTCTGCCAAATATTCTGCTCTACGCTGACGACCACGCAAACGAGTGCTGCTACGAGCGCAAAGGGAGAAATGATGACCAAGAGAGCAATCAAGATGGAAATGACGCCTATATTGTAAATATTTCGTAGTTTGAACCGAGGTCTGGCCGCATGTGAGGGGAGATAGATGTCGTCAATTTCGGCATAGTTGCAGAATGGGCAGTGGATGAGCGGTAAATTAGAGGCAACGAGACTGTGTTCTGCTAGCCGTTGATCTAGCCGATGAAGAATATCTGCTCCTGATTTTTCTTCCATGAACGCTCGCTGGATATACTCTGACGATATATGGCCTGAACAGCCGTCGACTGAAAGACATTTGAGAGTGCCCGTATCGGTGTTGATGTTGCTTTGCCAGCCTTGACCGAATAAAGCCTCTTTGATGGAGTTTTGCACGCATCGATAGCAGATCATGTGTCCATCTGTGCTGCAACTTGTGAACTCTTCGAAGGTGTAGTCGACAAAGCAGCAAATGCATTCGTGCATAGACGACGCAGCTTCAGCCTCTTGGCTGTTCATCGAAACTGCCAAGAGGCGGTCCTTGGTTTCATTTCTCTCTTTCATGTTTCGTTTCAGTGGCCGGATGAGAGCATCGTATAATTCGCGGTCCAACTCGGCGTTGCTTGTCGTCCTGATCGTGGGTACAATTGACCCCTGCCCAGTTGATCGCCACACCACAAGGGGGTGATTCTCAGCTTCTCCCGTCGTCAAAGGCTTGCGCCGCAAAAGAAGTGACTGTATGGTAAACCGCCATGATTTCGTCGACAATATGACCAGCGTCCGTCTGGCGTCTAGGTAAGAATAATTGGACTCGGCCAACACGGCGTTGACGGTGGATCTTGGCAACCCTCGAAACTCGTGGGCCGCCAGCGTACGGACTGCTTGAATATATTCTTTACTTCGAAACACGTCACTTCTAGGCAAGGCTCCCGGTTCAGTGATTTGCTTATCCATAACCTTCCATCGTCCCTTGACCCAGTCGACTCGATTCTTCAGCAACGCATTGGCAACGAGGGCAAGTCTTGACTCGCCGTCAAAGTTGGATAGCAACTCTCTGAATACCTCAATCTGTATGTCGGGAAAGACAACGGCCAAAGCCTCTAGGCTCGTATTCAGCTCACGCAAATTGGGTCGTTCCGGTGGCACACATGGTAGCTGGGCCTCGTCGTAGATGTATTCTGGCAGTAGTTCGGTCTCCAGGCTCGGCTTCGACCGACTTGCCCAGGCTTTGTCGGAAGAAAGCAGGCCGCTAAACACCATGATGATGTTTCATTCTTGAAATATTGGCATGCTGGGTGCTTCGTGCGGACACTTGACTCGACAGTCGGTGTTTGACGACAGCGGTTGTCGGGTTCGCCTGGGTTGATTATGGATATGCCTGAGCCAAGCCCGAGTGAGGGTGAGTGAGGGTGAGTGAGGGTCTTACTTGTTCTGTCGTGCGTGGGGCAGCGCGGTGTCAGCTGCGCATCAGAAGGTACTTTACGTAGGAGCGACCGCGGCGCCGCCTCGCCTGCAGCACCGCCACCACGCCACATGCTCCTAGAGTGCACGAGGCCCATTTGACGATTGATGCACGACTTCCGGTGCGACTTTCTTTTAGATAGTTCCGATGAAAGCTTCTATGAAGCTTCAAGTACTCCGTAGATCCGTTGACAGTATAGCCGCGGGATGTCGCCCCGCGCAGTGGCTCTCAGCAGGTTTGCGTACTAAGCAACGACGCACTTTGCATTTGACAATGGCAAGATAGGGCTTCATGACATGTATAAACCCGTCTTGAACTTTATGCTGCTCTGAGCGGGAGTAAGAGTTAGAGTTGGTATAGAAAATCAAGGAAGGTGCTGCGACGACCGCGGTGGGGCCTCCTTCCAACATTCACTTGGAATCCAACCTCCCATTACCTAAAGAAGAAATATTATGAAAGCGCCGAATACTGTATATCTGAAAATATACTCCGTAGAGAGCTATGTAAATCACGTAACTAATACAGCATACTGGTGCAGTATTTCCCCGTCCTACATCACGGGGCTGTTTAACAACGATGGTGCTTGCGGGGCGATGCCTTCTTTCCTGCTCTCGACACCCAAAAACAGAGCTTTGTGAAGGCCACAGGTTATCTATCTATCCTCACTGCAAAATATACAAAAAAAAACAAGTTTCTGCGATATAGATACGCAAGAAAACAATGGGCCGAACCGGGATTCGAACCCGGGGCCTCCTCTATGCTCAATTCCAATGAATTGGAGTCATCTGAAAGATACCCGAAAGAGGAATCATACCACTAGACCATTCGGCCGATCGTTTTGACAGGGTCTGTCGAAATACTGGTATATACACCTCTGCAACTTTTCCCAAGACGCTTGGCCTTTCCAGTGTTCACATTCAGTTAACAGGAATGGACACTACTGTATTCTATTTGACATAAGACTACAGTTCGTATTCCGAGAGGATTTGTTAGCTAGCAGGAAGTATCAATTGTGTTGGATGTGTTCTTTTTAAGTATCTTTCTGCCTGCGGGAGCTGTATTTTTTTTTTGTCGTTTGTACTCTGTAGTTGCTATGCGGAACACAAAACAACAGCTGCCGCAACGATCGCACTCGAAGCCGGACTTTAATGAAAACCACAAGAATTGATAGAATTGTAGAGCATTCACTAGGCCCTGCAATTTTTCTGAATTCAAGGAAATTAAGTTCTGTGGTGGTTGGGACGTGGATTTAATGCAGACGTCAGCGACGATTTCAGCCATATTTTGTTACGCATGCATATACTTGGGCAGTTGATGAATGGCGTTTGAAAATATTGTCCAGTTGAACCGCTTCGGTACCCAACTCGGTTCTATTATGTGCAACACCAAGATTCGTGATATCGTCAGCACTTAAGTCCAGTAAATTGGTGTTATAGGCCCAAAAGAGGAAGCATGCCTCTAGACCAGGAGGTAGCCAGACTTTTTTACGTGGTGCGGCAAAATCTTTGTTCTCACAAACTTAGATCTAAGTAAGTTTCCTGAAACACCCAAAAAATTCAGCCCAGATGCGGCTCGTCCCTCACTATAATAAATAGTTAATGGAGCTCGGTTGCTTTATTTTGAAAGATCTATTGTTGATGGTGGCGCGAATGCCGTAGGTTATTTGCTGCACTGGTTAAGTCTGGTGGACTTTGGTATCAGAGATTTTGGGCGAAACCCCCCGGAAAGTTGAAGATAACATTAGCAGTTGGACATGGTATCAGTTAAAGCCTAAATTAGGAGATGGTAAGGAGCATATTTTCCCCTACCAGTTTACTTTGATTCCGGGTAAATCTCCACTTGAGTAGCAATTGACAACAATCCTTCCAACGCATGTAATCCGCATTCTACGTTACATTTCTGACGTTTTTATAACTTGTATTGTTCTATTGGGGTGATCTAAAGATCTTACTTGTAATAATTGCGCTGAGACATATGTCGCAACAATGGTGGTTTTTATTGAGAAAAGGCTAATTTAAACTGGTTGGCATTAGAAGCGTCCTGCACAGCCTGGTGTGTTGCTTATTTATTAATGTTCAGCACGGTACATACACTTGCGGTGCTCTCTATCCTAGCAATTATTTAATTTGACTATGATGGTCCTAGTTGAACCGCGGGTGGAAATAGCACTAAATCCAAAGCATAACATGATTTACAGTCTACAAAGTGCAAAGATATACAAATAAGAAAACAGTAAACGCTCGAAAATTAGTTAAAGTAGTGAGATGAACGTAAATTAGGAACACATTTAGGATATGAATAACAAAAAAAAGCGTACTGTAGAGTGGTGGGCTTGATGAAAAGCGAAGATCCTTGATCTTTGACTGAGCTAATTCTCCTCTACTTGTGGTAGGCGGTTCCGCTAACTTTGACATACGCCATACCTCTCTCCCTTGTCCCCATTAGCAGGAGCGCGCATCCTTCCGTACATGAAAAATAAAACTTAAACGTCCCACTACCTCTAAGTTTAATGACGACTCATGGCTGGACGCCAAGTAGCCCCAATATCAGGATTCCCATTTCACATTTCTGTCTCTCTCGGGTCACCATCCTCGACGTTTGTGAGCCCTGTTGTCAACACCAGTTTAGCATAATTGACCTCGAAATCAATGCCCTTTTTCTCAGCCATCGTTGAGAAATAGCTCAACAATTTAGCTCCAGGGTGACGACGTTCCAGTAGGCTCACAAGCGCGCTCGTGGCTTCCCCCAAATTCCTCAAGTGTCGTTTGGTTGGCCCCTTCCATAGTCGACAGAGTCTAACCTTTAGTTCTCTATAGGCTAGATAAACGTAAAATAATGGCGACGGCTGCATCAATGAGGCTTCTTCATTCAGCCAATCGTCGTGGAACATTTCTGTGCGACTCGATCCAACGAATCTACCAATAACCACCGGTAGCCATTCCGATACTTCTTCCACGAGATCTACGGAATTGTCTGGAATCGATAATCCTGTCCTCTCAGGATCATTATCTGTGCCCGTCTCAAGGTATTTAGTTGTCCACTGCTCAACACGGCGAAGCTTTTCCAAGTCTTCCAGAAATTCTCCACAAGCATCGTTGATCCTTGACAGCAGTTGCCCAACTGTAACACCCTCTATCAATTTATACCCAGGAGACTCTTTGACTGTTTCGCGGTATAAAAGGCTGAAAGCATAGGACTCGAGTTCGCAGAAGGCTACGTGCCAGTCAGGAGATCTATTCGTGTCCCCAGAATGTAAGTGATCAAAAAAAAACTGTAGAAGTTGGTCATAGGTCAGACCTAGCGTCACAGGAATGAGGGTGCGCCGCCACTTCACAACTTCTTCCTCCAGTTGATCTCTAGTCATCTGTCGCAACTGTGACACCGTAGCGTATCCTGGGATATTTAAATCTCCCTTGTCATTCAATCGTGGACGAGGGATAGTCTTCGGCACTGCTCCGATTTTGTGTAGCATCCACCATATGGCGTTCAAATCTTGGTTCAATTGGTTTTTCGCCACATGTCCCATTAGATCGTCAAGATTCAATATAGAAACTTGTTCTCCACCTGCAGCATCATGCTGAGTGAGCCTCACAACACCTCTTGCTAAAGGATGGTCTTCCGGAAGACCCCTCTCAACCACGTTATCGATCTTCGGCTTCTTCCCCTTAGGCTCATCATCCTCGTTTCTAGGTTCAACTCCTTTTCTGTCACGCTTTCTAGTATGCGGTTTGGGCTCTTCAGAGGCCTGAGTTGCGCCAGACCGGACGACAGAACCGGGAAGCGTATCATCCATGTCGAGCGGCGTTGTTTAGCCCGATTTCGTCTGACGCAGCCGTAATAAAGTGGTGCACTGTTCAATGACAGTTTCAGTAGCTATAATTAACTTGAGAAACCTCAAGGATAGTGTATTGACCGCAAACTAAAACCATCGGGACACAAAGCGATAAAATTGAGGACTTTTCGTACCGGTGAGAGAACGTGAGGAGCGAAAACTGAGAGCTGCGGCTCAAAATAATGTTTGTCCCCAATTTCGCGTTATTCCAGTGTTGACAGCTGTTCCGATTAATGTTAACACCCGTCTACTAAACCGGCAGCTGCCAATAAGATAATAGCCAAACCTCTGTCTTCCTTCTTCCCCACCCTCCTATACTTATGAGAACTCCTAACGACCTCCCTTTCGTGTCGGAACTCCCAATCCACTAACAACATCGCTTGCGCCCCTCCTTCGTCTTCAGCAGGTCTATCTACTCCCACTCTTACTTTCCTTGGTTCTACTCAACCGCTCAGCGCAAAGCTGAAAATCATCCCCCAATGTCTAGAGACACAATTTCTAAGGCTTGCATATCTTTAGCCCGTCCTCGTGAAACTCCAGTCTCTCAAATCTCCTCATAGAAAACCCGCTCATGTTGCTCAGTCCAAACGACGCTCGGCCCCGCCTCTCTCAAATTTGAAAGGGACCTCTCTAACGATGTTCCAGCTCAGGTGGTTTTCCTTGTTCCATAACTCTCGCTGAGTCTCCAAACTCAATGGATCACATGTATCAGAATAAGTGCCTGTTTCGCGGGTTTGTGGTAACGGCCCCCGTCTTCTTTACAACCTCATCCTCATCACTCAAGGGATGTTTATCTGCCAGGTGATTATCCATCGCCAGCTCCAGCGCGAAAAGCACTAGTAAGCAGTGCGGAAATTGATAACTTTTCATCACCGGATTAGCTTGGATGTTTCTAATGCCAACCAAAATAAATATCTTAGTTCCCGCTGGAACCGTATTCCTGCAATATGCAATGCAAGTCTAGCAATGCGATTAAGGTCTTGCTGAAATATGGGGTCCTATCAGGCGAACAGAGTAGGGGCAATCGACCAAAAGTGCAAAGCATAACGTGATTTATAGTTCATAAATCACAAAAGAATACTAGTAAAAGCAACAGCTTAATAGACCCATAATAGATAGCCAAAGGGAGATTTAAGTTTTATTAGGATCGCGTTGGCAGCTCAGATGAGTGCAGGTTATCGGTGAACAAATGCTTGACACAAGGGACGCGCTGATTGGCCAATCTATTGGCACGGAGGACAAAGCTCTCAACTCAACCACGGCCCTCACAAAAGCTATCCTCACCACGACATTCGCATCTTATCTAACCCACCACCACGATCTGGGGTGATAGCTGTCATCGCTTTCATATCACCGCTCATCTGCGACATCTTTCGGCTCTCAATAAATCGTCTGATTGGCGCTTCATCCTTCTCCGCTCTTGCCCTACCCTCTTGTACCTTTGGCCGATGGTAATTGTCCTGTGATTCCCAACCGTCTATTTCGCGCGGTATCGCTCATCAACATCTCCATCATGGCTGCCGATCACGATCCTCTTCTGCTTCTGCGCAGAGCTATCTCCAGCAGCCAGTCATTTATCCCGAGCGCTTCTGAAGACCCAGGCGCGGCAGAGTCACCTCTCGCCCAGGCGAGTCACTTGCAGTTCTCGAGCCAGGGCATTGCCGTTGCCATCGATGCCCCGACGCGATTTATTTCCAATGAAAACCCCGTCGATCTTCGCAGTATCTACTTTGCCTGGCTGAATCGCGAACTTGCCATTCCAGAATACAATGCCTCGGCTACCACACTCAATGATCAACTGGCTGCTGCTGGATCTGCTGGCAAGGTCCAAAACTTGGGTTTCATCGAACGTCTAGATCTGATTACGTGGCTGGAAGGAGCCAGCGAGGAGAGCGAATACATTAAGCCGGTTGCAGGAGATGCAGATGCCACAGCCGCTGGGACTGCTCCCGCAGCCAAACCCGGAGCTGTGTCTGCGGCTGCTCAGGCAAGGGCCGGC